CTTTCTCTCTCTCTCTCTCTCTCTCTCTTTCTCTCTCTCTCCATCTATCTTTCTGTCTCTTTATCTCTCTCTCTCTCTCTCTCTCTCTCTCTCTCTCTTTCTGTCTCTCGCTCTCCCTCGCTCTCCCTTTCGCTCTCCCTCTCTCTCCCTCTCTTTGTCCCTCCTCTCTCTCCCATCCCCCTCTCTGTCTCTCCCCAATAGAGGGAGAGAGAGAAGAGATGTATGTGTATATGTGTGCATGCATGCGTGCGTGCGTGCGTGCGTGCGTGCGTGCGTGCGTACATTCGTCCGTGCGTGCGTGCGTGCGTGCGTGCGTGCGTGCGTGCGTGCGTGCGTATGTGTCGTATTAGATAGAGTAGCATAGCAGCATACGGGGTTGGCATCCAGTAGCGGGAGCCACCCCACTAGAGCAGTTACTATTGATCAGCTAGCGGTGTGAGCTGGCGGCAGTACACTGGATCTGCGCTGACCGCACTCGGCTAGTGATGAAGAGAAATCACCGCCACATAGAGGCATAGGAAGCGACCCATGAATGGCGATACCGATTAATTTCCGTGTACAAATATAAGTAATATCGAATTGTCGCCCCTATCTGTAATACAATTATATACTATATATATATAATATATATAATATATATAATATATATAATATAATATGTGTGTGTGTGTTTGTGCGCCATGTGTGTGTGTGTGGACATGTACGACCTGTGTGATGTGTGTGTGGTGTGACGTAGCGTTGCGTGGTGTGTGTCTTGCGTGCTGCGTGCGTACGTGCGCTGGCGTGCGTACGTGCCGGGTTCGTTGTGCGCTGTGTGTCGTGTTCTTCCCATCTCTCTCTCTCGCTCGCTCTCTCTCTCTCTCTCCCTATCTCTCTCTTTCACTTGGTTCACTACATTTACGCAGCTAACGCAGCGTTGATAAAGGGCGCTGAATCTTTCGAGTTACAAAATCATCCTGTAAGATGAGAGTGCAGTTGTCTGATTCGGTTTACCGGGCGTGACTAACCGATGTATGCGTGATCGGGCACCGTATTCCCTGCATATACGATACCTCACTAAACGCGCGGTTGATCTTTCCATTGAAAATCAATCGAAAAGAGAGATAGATTTTCAAAAGCAATGCAAAGTGAGATCGCTCGATAATGTTGCGTCTTCATTTTAAAAAATCGGCCTTGATTCGGGCGCAGCCACTGCCTAACGACAGCAATGATGAATGTTCGCGTCCCCGGCTGATGGTAGGCAGTAGTCAGATTTACAATGAGCGTAAATCTTCATGAACGTCTAGCCGCAGATATAAGCGGCCGATCGTCGCAATGCCTATACATCATGAGTGCAGTAGCTCTGCTAGGCTAATTATAGCGAGAGAAGGCAGAACGTCTTATCTCAGTCTACCATAGAGGGAGAGGGGAAGGGGACTGTAGCGTGCATGATGGATTTATTATAATTCATCGCTGTTAAGGTGGTGCTTCTTGGTAGAGGCTGTTCCGTAAGCAAGGGTTGTTCTTGTCGCTATGTTCACTGTTAAAGTGATGTTCATTGGTTGAACTTATTCACTTTTATAGTGTTCTTCGTTTGTGGAAGCTATTCACTGTCACAGTGCTGTTCCTTGATATAAGCTATTTGCTTTTATAGTTTTTTTTTTCATTGTGGGAACTGTTCACTCGTGTGTGATGTGGCGTTTTTTACTGGTAAACTAGTTCTGTGGTAGATGGATCGCCAATAGGAGAGGTCTGCTCAGTTAGAGCAACGATTAATAGAGAGCTATAGAGAGAGCCGGAAATGAGCAGCGGATGTGCGTTGAGGGATTCATTTCTAAACATTAGTAGTTTGACATTACCAAGTGCGTTTGTGCTGGGCCGCGCTGTGTGTGTGTGTGTGTGTGTGTGTGTGTCGGTGTGTGTGTGTGTCGTGTGTGTGTGTGTGTGTCGGTGTGTGGGGTGGGGGGGGCGTGCGTACGTGCGTGCGTACGTGCGTGTGTGCGTGCGTGCTTGAGTTCGTGCGTGCGGGAACATATACGCGTGAAATTTTCCAAAGAGCTAAATTAATATTGCTTAGTACCTGATTATAAATCTGTTCTTGAGGGAGAGAGTTAGAGAGAGAGAGAGAGAGAAAGAGAGAGAGAGAGAAAGAGAGAGAGAGAGAA